GGGCTCCCTGCTCGGCGGGGAGCCTGCTTCTCCCTCTGACCCTCCCCCCTCTCATGTGCTCTCTCTCTCTCTCATTCTGTCTCAAATAAATAAATAAAATCTTTAAAAAAAAAAAAAGCAACAATTGAGACACATGTCCACCCAAGTGAATTTGAATTGATGGACAACAGTAAATCTCTCTTTATTTTGAACAGGACATTTATCATGAAGAAGCTTTAAAAATACTTATATTAATCATATAGCAAAGTATCAAGCTGATTTAGAGGAAGGAAAAAATAAAATACAGAAGATTAGTTAGGAGATCATTATGAGAATTCTGGTGTGCTAAAATGATAGACACTGAAAAGAAAGAAAGGAAAGAACCTGGCAACAGACACCGTTATGAGCAAAATATACCATAAGTAGTGAGAAAAAGCACAGAGAGGGTAGGATTGTGAGTGCTTTCCTTTAACAGCTGTTTTTCACCCTCTGTCTTTAAAATCAAAGGGGGCAAAAGAGGTAGGGGATGTGCTCAGAGTGAAACTTCAAAACACTTCTTTCCCCTTTTTTATGTGTAACTAACAAACATGTCTATTTCTGGTTGCTGGTGAGAGAAAATTCACTCCCTGTTTTCCTGGAAGCTCTATTCCCTGCTGTGAGCTGAAAGAAGATTCTACTGGACTTGAAAATGATAAAACTTTCATTGATCTGCTTTGTTTCCAACACATACATTTTGCAAAATAATCCTACAAGGCAGGAATTATTAATCTGATTTTGCAGATGAGAAAACTAAGGCTCAAATGTGTTCAAGCTATAGCTATAGTTCATGTTATAGCTGAATGAATTAGGCTTTGTTGGTTCAGTGTTGTTTCATTTTTAAGTTTTCATGTACAAGGCAGATTGTATTGTACATATGACAAGCTGTTACTTGTGTGAATCTTAACACAATTACCCTTAGAAATAATAAATGGCCTTACATTGCAGATCTGCTCAGATCAAGTCTACTTAACTCATAATATAGCTGAACTATATTATAGCTCTAATAACAATGTGGCCAAGAGGTATTACATGGTTGCAGCTCACTACTGAAACATAGAAGTGTTTTCATTTGAATCCATTTCTTTCTTTCTTATTTTTTAAAGATTTTATTTATTGATTGATAGACAACGAGAGAGGGAACACAAGCAGGGGGAGCAGCAGAGGGAGAGGGAGAAGCAGGCTTCCCGACGAGCAGGGAGCCCGATGTGGGGCTCGATCCCAGGACCCTGGGATGATGACCTGAGCCGAAGGCAGACGCTTAACGACTGAGCCACCCAGGCGCCTCCATTTGAATCCATTTCTAATAAAGGACATGGATTATCTCTATTCCTATTTAGGCATCTTCCGAAGGTTAATTTGGTTAACTCTAAATTGTTCTTAAACCTTGGGTCTTCCTGTATTTAGCAATAAAAATCATTATAGAGATACATTATAGTAATATTTATGATGGAAAATATTTAAATGCTTCACAGAGAGTCAATTTTATTTTAATAGAAAGGAAATTTAAAAAGCTGCTTCAGACTTGTTGGTTTCTCTATTAAACATCTGATCCTAACTATTAAATGGTGATGTGGGGATTAAAAAATAAGTTATAATTTTTCAGAATATTAAAATGTATGATTTTGAAAGCAAGCACAAGTCTCTAGAATAGAAAGACAATGAAACAATCCATTAAAATTATCATCAGAATATCCTTTGCTCTCAAACGTATCTATTCTAAACTGTCACTGTGAGCTCCAAGGCTTTGTTTTGCTTGCTCAAGAAATGAATGTGACTTTATAATCTGTATTCAACCGTGGACAGCTGCTCATTAATAAAAAGCCATTAAAGACCAAGTCAGAACAGCAGGTCTAAAATTATGCTTGAGGAAAAAACCATCCCTTTAGTGAAAAGCCAGAGAACTGGGTTAGGGAGATTGGGAAGCACTGGGCTGTGTTTGCAAGGTCTGCCCGAACTGCTGGGCAGGGATGGGAGGTCAGTTGACAAAACACTACTCGGACCCACGGGGAGAACTCAGAACAACAAAGCCTATAAAGCCTTTGACTTGGGAGATTAAATGGTGAGCTGGAAGCTGTTAAAAGTGAATAAATCAAGCTGGTGATTAGGGATTGGGCAGAGGCAAATCAGAGACCTTAAAGTGGGCAAAATGGTCTGAACAAAGAGCAGGTAGAATTAACTGTAACACATGGAGTACAGGCAATTCAGAAAGAAATCTTTGATATACCAAGTCTATCCCTTATGCTCCTCTTGACATTTGGTGGTCCCTATCCCCACCCCACCCAAGCCTTGGGCAGAGGACTGGACTTCAAATTGCACACTCCCAAGAGGTGGTCCCCATGAAAGATCCCAAATTATTGGCACCTATGATCCCCAATTATGGAATTATTACTCAGTGACTAAAGATGGTTTTAAACTATTATTTCATAGATATTTTTAAAGTAAACTAAGTTTGCAATCTTTGACAAGTTTTGTTTTTTAGTGTGTTGGAAACAAATACTACTAGTTGTTTCTAGAAAAAAATATCTTTTATTTCACTTGGAAATGGCAAATTTAATAAAGAAAACTGAAGAATGAAGAAAAAATATTATAAGGGATATAATAATTTGAAGCAAAGGTTTGTGTCTAAGAAAAAACATTTTGAAAACGTTTATGTCAAGATGTAGCCTATTTTTGATTATTGATTAGGGGAATCAAAAAAAATTGGAGACTTTGAATTCTTCGAATGTGGGCATTTGAAGAGATCAAGGTTAGAACAGGTGTTTAAAAGACTGCAGAGGATTTAGTGGATTTAGGGAGGCGTAGTAACTGGGAATGATGATGCAATAGTGCGGTGGTGGTAGTAGTAGTGAGTACTACTACTACTACTACTAGTAGTACTACTAGTAGTAATAGTGAGCAGTTAGCAGCAGCTGCGGTAACAGCTATTAATCTGTGTATGTTTGCTATGTGCCAGGCTCTGCCCTAAGAGCTTTGAAAGGGTTAGCCATCCTATGAAGTAGGCGCTATTATGGTCATTTTACTGATAAGGAAGCTGAGCTTTAGAGATGAAATAATGTATCCAGTTACCTAGAATCATTCTAGAGCAAGAGTTATAAACATTCTCTTCCTTCCCCTCTTGGGGATAAACAAGGTCAATGACTAGAAATGTGGTACAGATTGGAGTGCACAGGTGGGTGGATACTAGAACGTAAGTGGGTAGAAGGAGGCTGGTCAGGGTGACAGGACAAAGACAGTTGTAGTGAAAAAGAGTAGAAAAACATGAACTGCTTTCAGCCTCTGACCATGCAACAGTGGAGCAGATAGTTTTCTGAGAGCCCCTCGCCCATAAGCAAAGAACCTTGGCCTTTTCATAGCATACGGGATAAAAAGAAGAAAAAAAGTAAGAGACTTTAAAGAGAGAACCATAGAAAGAAAATCTTAGTTTGGGAGAATGGCTAGCCTGCGAGGCAAGGGAGGAACAAATGCAGGGACAAGGTTAGGTTCCGTTTTTTAACTTCTAAAGGAAATTCAATCAAAAGTTACTTGGAGGACGCAAAGTCCTGAATTAAACTCAACGTTTCGCACCCCTAAAGTGGAGGAATGATTGAGATCTGGCCTCCCGACAGCCAAATCACCCTGAGACAGCCGCAGCTCCCTCAATTTTGCAACCTAAACACTGCTTTCCCTTGGTCCCATCAGGTAGGCGGAGTCTGTAGATCGAACGAAAAGGGGCATGGTTGGCGCGGAGGTACTCTGCACTGAAAGTAGGGCAACACAGAAGGAGCCCATGCACTTTGCAGCAGAACACCCTGTACAGCCAGCAACGGTCACAGAACACCTACCCGTGACCGAGCCTCGGCCACAGCCACGCCGGCCGCCGCTCGCCCCGCCCCCCCAGGCGCTCATTGGCTTAGCCCAGTCGCCGGACCCTCAGCCTCTCGTCTATTGGGCCAGACAGGACCTGGGCGGGGTGCGGAAGTGAGGGCCTGGAGACCACCAAGAACCGCCTTCCAGGCAGGCGAAGTGGGAGGGGTTGGGGGATGGTTTCCCGAGGAGGGGGCGGCCATGGCAGCTGCGCGGAGGCAACGGCGGCTGCGACGGAGCGCGCGCCCGGCTTTGAATGAGCGGGGCTGGGACTGAACGGGCGGAGCGCGAGCTCGAGGAAGCGACCGGCAGTGCGCGTGCGCGCGCCTTGGTTGCGCGCGCGGCCCGCGGCAGCTCGGAGCCTCCGCCGGGCGGGCGGGGGGGGAGGGGCAGGTGAGTGTGTGCGACTCGCGCGTGCCCGCGAGGGGCTTCCCTCCCTCCCTGCCCCCCGAACCCAACCTGGTCCTTGGGTGGGTTGGGGGTCTTCTGCCTTTCCCTGGTCAGCCCTCCTCTTCGCCTCGCACTTCCCGCCCTCCCACCTTTTCGTCCCTCCACTGGGTTTCTCCCTTCCACGGCCGACTGCCATTCTGGGGTACTGTTTCCGGGTCGAAGTGACCTCTGGGGTGAAGGAACTGCGACTGGGAGCGGGCCCCGAGCGCGCAGCCCTCACCATGCCGCGCTCACGCGTGGGAGACACGCCGGCGGGACGCGGGCGCAGAAACCCTCCAGTCGCGGAATGGGTCTCCAGCAGGGAAATTTGCTCGTCCTTCCTGCCCCTCCTTTACAGGCCTTGCTCCTTCCCAGATTTTTCCAAAATCCAAATCCCAACCTACCCTGCACCCATCTCCAGCGATTTAGAGCGTTTCACAGAGCGCCGAGTGCATGGCGTCGGATTGTGTAACTTGAAAACACTCTTGTCTTTTTTCTCATCTGTACAGTGGGTGTGATTTTTTTTTTTATCAGCCAATTTCAGGTGGGTAATCAAAAGTTAAAGCATTTTAGTTATGCAACTCTTGCCTTTTGAGTCATTCAGGAGACCTTAACTCTGCCCTCGTAAAGAGTCGGTGTCACATATTTGAGGGCCTGACTTTGAGTGGCCAGAGATGATACAGTCCACTTTACAACCCGCTCCCACATTCTTTTAGTTCCCTTTCTCCTTGGTTTTTCACATAAGTGAGTTCAGGTAAATTTTATTTTTGGAGACTTGCGATAGTCCTTAATCAGCTTGAGAGTTACAAACAATTTGAGGCTGTTCTGTATTGTACTAAGCCATATGGTTTTTAAAATTTTGGTATTGAAAAATTTCAAACATATTTTTAGAATTACAGCAATTGAAGACTTATTTACTCTAGTGTATACGAAAAGATTTTGGCTTGGCTTGTTTAATGAATTGTAATACAGTGACTCTACTGAAAGGGTCTCACCTGCAGTTTACGGGGAATTACAAGAAAGAAAGATATTAATTTTGCAGCTTCTAATGCAGTGTATTTTTAAAATTGTAGGTGAATCTTCCTCACTTGACCTAGCTGAGCTCTCATTCCTGTTGATTTCCTAGAGATGTCATTTCTCCAAAAGCCCTGAGAATAGGTTGCTTCATAATTCTGATCCTTTTCCTGCTATATCTCAAGTTTTTGTATTTTCCACCTAATTTTAAAGGAAATTTTAATTTGAAAATTAGGTTATATTAGCAATTCTCAGTTTTAGAAAGTATTTTTAAGTAACCAAAGTGCAGAGTAGCCTAAGATGCCTACTTAAATTGGCTACCTAAAGGGCATTCAAAAATCAAACTGTGGGGGTGCCTGGGTGGCTCAGTCGTTAAGCGTCTACCTTCGGCTCAGGTCATGATCCCAGGGTCCTGGGGTCGAGCCCCGCGTCGGGCTCCCTGCTTGGCGGGAAGCCTGCTTCTCCCTCTCCCACTCCTCCTGCTTGTGTTCCCTCTCTCGCTGTGTCTCTCTGTCAAATAAATAAAATCTTTAAAAAAAAAAAAATCAAACTGAGGCAATGAGTATAAAATTAAAAGGTTTATCAAAGGTATATGGTATGAGGAGAGCCTAGGCTTTGGGTCAGTCTCTTTAAATTGTGGGTGAGTAAATCCTCTGAAGCCTGTCAGCCACATACGTTAAATGGGTATAGTGGAATTTACCTCCTTTGTCCTTAGGATTCCAGTGATATGATAGAAGATACATTGTCTAGAACTATGTTTTGAACATACTGAGTGCTCAAGGAACATTAATTTCCCTTCAACAAATAGTTGAGTACCTACTGTGTGCTTGGCATTGGCTAAGACCTGGAAATACCAAACCGAACAAGACTGATTGGGGCCCTGTCTCCTCAGTCCCTTGCATTGTCACTGGCCCGTGACAACTGAGCAACAAACACTTGGTTTCTCTGTATTGGGTCAGTAGTTTTTCCCATTACCCAGGGTAGCATCTGTTAGATAGTAGGTGCTAAATATATATATGTTTGTTGAATTGAATTGGAACATTAAGTAACTGTGGGTCCCAAAGAATATTCCAGCTTGCAAATCAATGTAATTGATAAAAAGTTTTGATAGTTAACTTGATTGCATTTTCCCCATTTCATTGCAACCGGCTAGAAAATTTAGTCTGTAAATTATAATATCATCACTGAATTAGTAAGAATGTTTATTGTTAGTGAGATGTTCTTGGCTTTTGAATTAAATAGACCTAGGTTTAAATCTGAGTCATTGGTTGTAGGAGCATGGAAACATGCGCTTACTCTCTGTGCTTCAGTTCTATGAAATGAGAGCAGTAGTATCTATCTCATAAGATCGTTTTATGGGTTAAGAGACATAATTTTTAGATCATGCTTGGCATATAGGAGTTGGTCAACGAATATTAGATCTTTTTGATAATTACAAAAGAAAATTTTCTGAAGAATGAGGATATTCTTAATTGCTACGAAGAGAATTCTGTTCTATTGTCAATAATAGTCCCATTTTCTGTTTTTATGTTGGACAAAATTTTAAATTTTGTTTCCAGTTACCATTGAAGTCATTCAAGTTGATAAATACTGAACAATGACGCACAATAATATTTGTGGCAAGGTGGTGACAGTGGTTACCAAGGCTCTATATGAAATTTATTTTCAACTCTGCATTCATGTATATATCCTGAGACCCACTCCTCTCCCCATTCCTTAAATATTAAATGTCTTCTCCCTTCAAAACTTCCTGATTATCTCCTCAGTTCTGTCCCCTTTTCCCCCAAGTGCCACATTCCATACAATCTCTTTTCTAGCTATCTTGTTTTGTTTATAATTTTTATAAAAATTTAGCCTAAATTTTCATATAGGGAAGTTTGCCTTCTTTTGGTTAAGAGTTTTATTCTTGACAAATCAGCTTTAAAATGGAGCTTTTATTCATCATCTTAACTGTCAGGTCATTCTAGTCATAATGAAGTAGTTAAACCTTTCAGGTGTTACTTTGCAACTGATAACTGGAGGTACAAGATAACAAGATCCTCTGGGGAAGGATTGTACACGGCAGATAAGGTATATAGAAATAACTATAGTACAAAGTAGAGAATGTAAGTGTGGTAAGAGAAAAATACTGGAATTAAGAAGACTTTATAATAGGAGCACCTGGGTGACTTAGTTGATTAAGCGTCTGACTCTTAGTTTCGGCTCATGTCAAGATCTCATGCACGGGTTCTGGGATCAAGTCCTGCATAGAGGGCTCTGCGGTCCGTGGGGACTCTGCTTGAAGATTCTCTCCCTCTGCCCCTCCCCACACTCATTCTCTCTCTCTTTCTCAAATAAATCAATCTTAAAAAAAAAAAAAAGGTTTTATAATACCCCAGCAAGACGTAATAAAGGCTTATGCTAGGGAGATTGCAGTGGAAATAGGGAAGAATATAGGCAGTATTAGGAAATGGAGTAAGGCCTTTTGGCAGTTTGGACATAATAGGGCTAAGAGAAAGGAGAAGTCAAAACTGTTGCATTTTTTGAAACCTAGTAAACCACTAATTGGTTTCTTTCTTTTTGTCAGAAGTATTTAAGTTACTTGAATAGTGAAATTCTTAAATTTTTTGGTTCATTCTCATAGAGTCACTGTTCTTTCCATCCTTGCAATTAGTATGTCAACTGCAAATACAGGCATTCAGTAAATCATTGAGCTCATGTGGAGATACAACCTCAATGTATGGGCATTGCTAAGGGAGCCTTTTGGAACTCTGTTACTGTGAAGAGTCTACTTGGCCTTTCTACATTTGTAATTCTAGCAATAAAAAGAGCTAGCTGTGTGTTTTGCCCTTCTTTGAAGGGAATGGCAGTAGTGGCTCTACAGAGTAATTAGGATCAGGTATCATAAGAGTTAACTGTGTTTCCTTGCTTTCTGTTTTTGTTTTGTTTTTATATTTTTGTTTTGAACTTTTATATAAGGCATAACCTACAAACGGTATATGTAGTATACTGGTGTTGATATTACTCAGACTGAAGCATAGATCTATATGCCTATAGATATAGGTATCAGTTGTTTGTAATATTTTCTCAATACCCTTTTAATATCTGCAGACTCTCTGGTAATGTCACCTCTTATTTATGATATTGGCATAATTCTGTTATTAGGGACTTACATATTTTGGATTATCATGTGCTTTTGATTTACTGACCCTTTTATCATTATGAAAGGACCATTTTTATGCCTGCTAATATTATTTTCTCAGAAATCTATTCTTTGACATTGAAATAGTCACTTCAACTTCTTTTTGATTAGTGTTAGCATGGTATATTTTCCCTATTCTTGTCCCATCTGTTATTTGTTCCCCTTTACCTTGTTTTCTGTTCTCCCCTGCCTTTTTTTTTTTTTTTTTTTGGCTCCCTTTTCTGTTGACTGTATTTTGTCTCCTTTGTAGTCTTATTAGTTTAACTGGAACTTGCCCCTTAGAGAATATGATTTAATCGATTTACTGGGGTTAGATCCAGGTATCATATCTTTAAAGGATCCCCAGATATATGAACCACTGGACTAGATGATCTCTGTTGTTACTTTCAAGTTAGTAGCTATGTGACTTTGGGCAAGTTATTTGACCTCCCTTAATTTCCTCATCTTTAAAATGGGCATAATAAAATGTATCTATCTAAAAGTTAAAAATGTTCTGAATAATACTGTTATGTTCATGTGGTTCAAACTTCAAAAGGTACAAAAGATTCAATATATACTGTTTTATGCTTTTTTGATTTTTTAGTAGAAAATAATACATAAATAGGTAATTGAAATTCAGTTAAAAAATATTCTGAGAATATTTCAGAAAGGCTTTTTTCCTCACATCTATTGAAAACTTAAAAATGTTGTTTCTTGGGGGCACCTGGGTGGCTCAGTCATTAAGCATCTGCCTTCGGCTCAGGTCATGGTCCCAGGGTCCTGGGATCAAGCCCCGCATCCGGCTCCCTGCTCCGTGGAAAGCCTGCTTCTCCCTCTCCCACTCCCCCTGTTTGTGTTCCCTCTCTCGCTGTGTCTCTCTGTCAAATAAATAAAAAATCTTAAAAAAAAAAATCTTGTTTCTTGAATTGTCAGTATGATTTACATTTTAATTTTAAAATTTACTGTGTATGGGGCGCCTGGGTGACTCAGTTGGTTGAGTTCCTGACTCTTGATTTTGGCTCAGCTTGTGATGTCAGGGTTGTGAGATCAAGCCTTGCGTTGGGCTCCATGCTTAGCACAGAGTCTGCTTGAGATTCTTTCTCTCCCTCTGCCTCTCCCTGCCCCCTTTTCGCATGTGCTCTCGCTCTCTCAAATAAACAAATAAAATCCTTAAAATAAAATAAAATAAAATTTACTGTGTTATATTTGTGGTTTCTGAAGAAAAGTAAAAAATGTCTAATTTTCACAGCTCATAATAGGACCTTTCAGCCTGACTTGAGAATGGGAATATAGCTTATGAAATCAGCTAAGTGCATTTATTTTTGTGCTTTTTCCACAGGTTTTGATTCCCACCATGGCTATCACACAGTTTCGGTTATTTAAAGTTTGCACCTGCCTCGCTACAGTATTCTCATTCCTAAAGAGATTAATATGCAGGTAAACAAATTTTAGGTTCAAATTGACTTGTTTATCTTCTTGCTGGTTTTGGATGCCTTCATAATTACAAAAAGGCAGGGCAGACTATACTTAAGCTAAACTTGATTATAGTATTCATTTGTTACTGTCTGGTATTTTTTTTAAATATATTTTCTCTACTTCAGATCTGGAAAGTAGAGTTTCACTTCTTTTCATTCTTTCAAATTCTTACATCTTTAATTAAAATCGTATTCTTATTCCTATAGAATTTCAGAAAAAAGCAAATCCGTTTTCATTGTAATAAGACAGTTTTTATGTACATAATTATTTCATTACCAGAATGTTTTAAGATGGTTAGGTGGAATTAGGAATAAGTATTTCTTTATATACTATAATATGAATGTTTTTGTATTAAAAAAACACTTGAACAGAAAAACCCCACACAAAATAGATTTTTTTTTTTTGGTCTCTTAAATAATATTCCAGAATGTGGAATGTGGACTGTTTAGTCCTAGTCAGATAAGTCATTCTACTTCAGTAAGTCATCCAAAGATTTGAATTCCTTCTATTTTGTCACACAGCTATACCCTAGAGCTATAGTTCTGTAGTTCTATACTGTACCCTAGAATTATGTGCGGACGCACTTCAGGGCTTCACATTAAACTCACAGGGGTATCATCAGGATTTTTTTTAATTTCTAGCAAAACACAGTGAATGGGATAGTCAACATCTGTTAAACGCTGCACAAGCTACTAGCTCAAAGTAGTTCACATTTGTAACATTAGATCGTGCAGCATTACTTTTGCAGATATTCTTGAATGTTTGAGATAAGTTTTTGTTTACTTGTATTTTTAGTGACCTGTCTTTGCAAAGCTAGGATTTAGGTTGTAACTAAAGCAAGTACTGAACCTAAAATTAATATGGAACAGAAAATGAGTACGGTAGTATCCATTCCGATTTCGAGTTTTGAGAAGCTGTGCAGTATCCAGTAGCCCCACACATATGTTCCATTAGTGATTGTGGTTCTTTAAGAATGAAATCAAAATATTGTTTTTCTTTATATGTAGTATTTTTGCAAATGGCTGCTGTGTAGTTAGGACATAAATAAGTATTAATTGTTTGGGTCTAATTATGTAATCAATGGAACTGTTAGGTATTTGTTTTGGCCAGGAGTACTGTGAAAAAAAAAAAAAAGTACTGACACACAGAGGAGGGTATAGTAAAAGAGGAAGTAGAAGGCTGTCAGTTCTCTTTTCTGGCGGACTTGATTTAGAAGTTGCACACAACACTTCAGTTCTCAAGCTTATTGTCTAGAGCTTAAACATATGCTAAGGATCATATGACCACCTAGCTTCAAAGGAGGCCAGGAAATATATTCTCTGGCTAAGTGGCCATTTATAACTATTAAAACTCTGAGGATTAAAGACATTTATTGTTAGAAGTAGAGTGATTTGGGATTTTTTAAAAAATGGGTCCATAGTATGGCAAAGGGAATGAGTGGATGAAATAGAGTGCAGATGATCACTGGAGGAGGAAAGGTCAAGAAAGAAATGGAAAATTCTGGTGACTATAGAACTTACCCAGGAAGAGGACAGGGTTTGGGAAGTAGGCAAAATAGTGAACTAAGTGCTCAGATCATTAGAGCGTGAAGAGGAATGGCCAGAAATTCACAAAGTAAAGTAGGATAAGACTGGGTATTAATTGCCAGAAGGCTGGAGGTTAACAGAAGATAAATTATGGGTGTTTTTCTCTTTACATATGTATTTTCTAAAACTAAAATACTTTTGGTAAAAGAAAGCATTTGATTTAAAAAATATTAAGGACAGTTGTTGCCACTATAAATTTCACAATAATTTATTTAGGATTCATTGTATGTTCACTTTTAAAGAAAACTGACTTGTTAGAATAAGCTTTTCTTATGTGTCAGAAGGAACCTAGATCATGTGTTCTAAAAGTAGCAGGTCCACATCATAAATTTAGTAGTAGACTGTGTTTTCTATTTATCCTTTAAACAAAATATGATTTCTAATCTTGTAGTAAAAATAACTAACTTTACCAGTTTGCTCTAAGTAGATGCTGCATAGATTATTTGAAATGAAGCAAGTGATTAATCATTTATAATAGCTACCATTTTTTTTTTTTTAGTATATACCGGGCACTGTCTAGTGTCTAGCTGCTTTAAATATGTTACTTAGTTAAATCCCTATAACAACCCTACAAAAGTAGGTTTGAATACCTACATTTTGCAGATGAGGATATTGAAGCTGAGAGGCTTATTGATTCCTAACTAGACTCATAATTAATAGACGTAACATTTAAAACTATGGTTTACATAGTTTCCATAGCCCATGCTTTAGCAATTGAGTTATGATACCTATTTTGTTTAATATAGTGCTTCTCCTACTAATCCTTATCAATTAGTTTAGTTCAACCCAGTGATTTTCAAACTTTTAATAATAGGTAATCTTACCAAAAAAACAAATCAGTAAAACAAACAAAAGCCAAGCCATCCTGGTTAAAACGGCATAGGTAGGGGCACCTGGGTGGCTCAGTTGGCTGAGCATCCAACTCTTGGTTTGGCTCAGGTCATGACCTCATGGGTTGTGGGACCAAGCTCCATGAGGAGTCTGCTTGAAGATTCTCCCCCTCTGCTCCTCCCCCGCTCTTGTGCACAGGTGTGTTCTCTCTCTCTCTATCAAATAATCTTAAAAAACAAAAAAAAAACCACACACACACGAAAAAAGGGATAGGTGTCCTAGAACTTCACCAACAGAGCATGGTTTGAAGGAATATGGTTTGAAATTACTTTGCATTTTTGTTTTTGTTTATGTCTTTATATGCCTCCTGAGTTTATCTATAATTCTGAGTCCTAAGCCAAAAAGCAGTTTTGTTGTCCTGTCCAAGATTTTAAACACATTTAAAAGATATTTGATGCATGCCTTTTCTTTTCATATTTTAATGAGCAACTCTTAATTGTTAAAATAAATAATTGTAAAATTATAAAATACCTTTTTTTTTTAAAGGTATTTTTATTTATTTGACAGCAAGAGAAGGAACACAAGCAGGGCGAGTGGGAAAGGGAGAAGCAGGCTTCCCACTGAGCAGGGAGCTCGATGCGGGGCTCAATCCCAGGACCCTGGGATCTTGACCTGAGCCGAAGGCAGACGCTTAATGACTGAGCCACCAGGCGCCCCATAAAAGACCTTTTTTATTAGCTTTCCCTTACTGTCCATAGCGCTTTTACTCAGGCTTGTTTTGGTAATTATTGAAATAAGCTATTTTCATTTTTATTTTAGATCTGGCAGAGGACGGAAATTAAGTGGAGACCAGATAACTTTGCCAACTACAGTTGATTATTCATCAGTTCCTAAACAGGTAGTTTTTGTTTAAGTTTGAATAAGTGCTCCAGAACCATGGTTTTCAAACTGGACTACAGACCATTAATTAGTATATCAGGAAATTAATTTGGTAGTCAGGTCAGTCTTTTGTTGTTGTTATATTTTTTAATTCTAAAATTTTTATTTGGTTCTTCATAGTATTTTCTGTTACTTTGCTGAAGTTTTCTATTTTATTTTTCCATAGATTTCAAGAGTGTTTACTTTTGCTTGTTGAAGTATTTTTATAACTATTTTAAAGTCTTAGATAATTATAACATTTGTGTTATCATTCCATGCAAGTTGAAATTTACTGATTGTTTACTGAATAATTTGGGGTTGTTTCATGGACATTTTGAATATTATATTTGAGACTCTGTCTTATATAAATCCTATCAAGAATTTTTTTTTTTTCAATCGGATTCAACCCGGTTAGGCTTAGGATGCAAGTTTCAATATTCTTTCTGTGGACTGTAGTTCTAAATGTCAGTTCAGGTTTTAAAGCATTTGCTTTTGTTTTGTTTTTTGTTTTTTAATGGATAGAACCAATTGTCTAACTTCTAGTAAGTGTTTTTTTAAACTTTTGATCTAGTTTTGGTATGTTTTATAAAATTTTTATTTTCCTGTTGGTCAAAAAGTTTGAAAACCAATGTTTTAGAAAGCCTGTTTTTCTAATAAATGATGAATGAGATGTTAAGTTACCCCTTTGTGGCTGACACTGTTGATGGATTCAATGAAGACGGATGTTGAAGAATGGACTTCCTGGGACGAAGACGCCCCCACAAGTGTAAAGATTGAAGGAGGCAATGGGAATGTAGCAACACAACAAAATGCCTTGGAACAACTGGAACCTGACTATTTTAAGGACATGACACCAACTATAAGGAAAACTCAGAAAGTATGTAAAAGAGTGGTTTGGGAGGTTAAATAAACTATTTTTCAGATTCCTATGTTTAAATCAGACAGTATAATTAACCAGAAAGCCTATTTCTAATCAATTTGTTGTGTTTTCTAACATATTAAACAAGCTTATATATTCAAGTGACCTAGACATAGATCTAGTAAGTTCCATCCCCAAGTCTTTTAAAGTTATATTTGCATTTACTGAAATCCAACCGTAGACCAGATTCTAGACTGCAGTCTCTGCTAGAGAGACTAAGCTGATTAAGATAAAGTTCTGACCTTAAAAGAGTTCACAGTTTAGTGATGACTACAGACTGATAGGTGTAGTTTCCATTGTTTCCATTGTTTCTAACCATTATAAAACTGATGTAGGACTCTCAGAATAATTGTTGTGGGCTTATGTTAGTCGTCCACACTTTACTTAATCCCTTTTGAGCTGGATATGGAAGATCACTTAAAGGTGGAGGGAATTATTGGGAAAAGAACAGTAGCTAAATATTTTCCTTTCTTTTTATCAAAAATGTACTTTTTAAAAAAAAATTTAAATCAAAGAATATAGAAGAGCTTATAGTGAAAAGCAACAGACTTCTGCCCCATCATTCCCCATAGCCAGTTCGACTTCTCAGAAGCAACCACTGATAACTTTTCCTGTTTGGGCTTATAGTGTTGTTGTTTTTTTCAAATCATATCTATATATAATATGCTTATGTTGCTGTGCCTTGATTTACTAATCACAGACATTGTCCATTGACTTCATACTATGGTAGATGAGGGTTTATTTCATACTACCCTCACTGCTCTTCCCCCTCTTCCAAATATGATGCTGTTATTCCAGTCTACCTCACTAGTCACTCTGCTATTAAAAAAAAAAAAAAATGCTTAGAGTTCTATTTCTTGTTCAGTCATGCATAGAAAATATTTCTTAAAAACTCACTTTATAAAATGAGGACATTATTTATTCCACCCTTTCCTAATAGGGCTTCTCACCCTCTTCTACCTCCCAACCAGTTTCAGCTATAAATTTATTTTTACAATCTCAAGGCTGATAACATTTACATTCTGTAATCAGTTTTGTTTTTGTTAAGTTGTCCAAATGTCTCAGTGCTGAACTCAAACTCAAGGAGTTTGCGTGTCTTAGTAGATGAATACCTTATATTTTGGAAGTATATTGCTGCTCTTAAGAGGAACCTAGAATATTTCAATAGTACCTTAATAAATTAGTTAGACTGAAAATGTTTTTAAGGTACAAAGCTAACACTCCTGCCTTGAAAGAGCTAATGCATTCATAGATAACCGTATGAAGAGAGATGTTTGTACTTTAGTAGAATGTGACATGTGTTCTTATTTAATACAGTGACTAAAAGTGCCAACTTATATTTTGTGGGTCTAGAGAGAGAAGAGGAAAATTTGTTTTTTTAGAAAAAGTAAAATGGAATTTTTCTTAGTATGTAAGTGATTTGTGTGACAATTGCCTAGGAATTTTGATAGTCTTTACAGACTTAAACCTTTACATTATAAATTTTAAAAGAAGAAAGGTAGGGCATATTTGAAATAATTACAGAATACTTTGGTCACTTAATTAGCTTGTTTGTTTTTATATGATGGGTAAAATATTCCTATAATTCTGTTTCAATTAATCTTTCAGATCATTATTAAGAAGAGAGAACCATTAAATTTTGGCATCCCAGATGGTAGCACGGGTTTCTCTAGTAGATTAGCTGCTACACAGGATATGCCTTTTATTCATCAATCTGTAAGTATGTTAATAATATATAGGCAAGGGTTTTTGTTTTCTTGAAAAAAATCAAAATGAACATAATATTTGTATTTCTGTGCTTCAAAACAGGCTTAGCAGATGAGAGACATTAATCTGGAGTTTTGCAGTCTTTTCCTTTTATGAGATTGTAAATTACATCAGCTACTAAGATCAGAGTCCCACTGTACACATAAAAGACAAATACAATATGTTACTTACAAAATGTGACCTTTAGGGGTGCCTGGGTGGCTCAGTTGGTTGAGTGTCCGACTCTTGATTTCGGCTCAGGTTATGATCTCAGGGTTGTGAGATTGAGACTTGCCTTGGGCTCTGTGCCCAGCACAGAGCCTGCTGAAGATTCTCTCTCTCCCTCTGCCCCTCCCCTTTTCACGTGTGTGCGCACATGCGTGCTTTCTCACTTTCCCTCTCTAAAAAAGAGATTACCACTGAAATTTAAACTTAAAAGCAGGTTATTTTTAAGCGAGTCATGAATTGTTTCCCTAGTAGAGTATATTTACATTTAAAGTATAATTTGACTTGTAGTAGGTTTGACTTAAATGCATCACTTTGAAGGACAAAAAGTAGTGAGGAAAGTATATAACTGTGGTTCTCAACCTTGGAAGTATCTGAGAATTGTCTTAAAAACACCAATGTCCAGGGGTGCGTGGGTGGCTCAGTTGGTTGAGTGTCTGCCTTTGGCTCAGGTCATGATCTCAGGGTCCTGGGATGGAGCCCCGCATCGGGCTCCCTGCTTGGCGGGGAATCTGCTTCTCCGCACTGTTCTTGCTCTCTCTCTCTCTCAAATAAATAAATAAATAAAATCTTTAAAAAAAAAACTTACAGTCTGACGCTCTAGGTAGTCATCATTATCATCAAAGAACTCTCCATAACTTTTAAAAAAAAAAAAAGTCCAGACTTCTCCCCAGATCTAAGCTTAAGCATGTTTTGATTGACTAATTATTGATTAGTAATTATTGACCAGTTTATTATGTTATTATTATATAACAACCCCACATTTAGTGGCTTAAAACAGTGAACCTTCTTTATCTCATATAGTTTCTATGGATTGGGAATCCAGGAGTGACTCAACTGGGTAGTTCTGGCTCGGGGTTTCTAATGAGTTTCCAGGCAAATCATTAGCTGGGGTTGTAGTCCTCTGAAGGCTTGACTGGAATTGGAGGATTCATTTCAAAGGGGCTCATTTTACATGCCTGGCAAATTAATGCTGGTTGGTTGCATGAAACCTCAGTTCCTTGCCATGGACCTCTCCATAGGGCTGCTTGAGTTTCCATACAACATAACCGTTGACAGTCCCAGAACAAGCAATCCCCGAGAAAGAGAAGGCAGGCAGAGGTGAAGCCACAATGCTTGTTTATGACTTAGTCTTAAGTCACTGTCACCTCCACATTATTTTATTCATTGGATGTTAGTCCCTAAATCTAGCCCACATGCAAGGGGAGAGGAATTAAGCTCTACCTCTGAAGGAAGAGTGCCAGAGAATTTGCAGACATAGTTTTAAACCACCACATCTGCCTATCTTATTTGTTTGTTGAAACTGCATGGGTGCTTCGGAGGCCCCATCTCTGTAGGGGACCCATGTTTATGTATATTTTTAATTCATGGGTCAGAAATTATTCCTACTAATGCGAGACAGGGTGCTTGGTGCTAGTACTATAGTGGAAAGTAAGAGTCCTTCCTTCAAAAGAATGCATTCTAGTACGGAAGGCGCAGTATTAAATAAATGATTGCACTATTATAAATAATGCAAATTTTGATAACTCCTATGCGTTTACTTTTTTATTTTTATTTTTTTAAAGATTTATTTATTTAAGAGAGACAGAAAGAACATGAGTGGAGAGAGGGAAAAGCAGACTCTCTGCTGAGCAGGGAGTCCACTGTGGGGCTCAATCCCAGGACGCTGAGATGATCTGAGCCAAAGGCAGATGCTTAACCAACTGAGCCACCCAGGTGCCCCAACTCCTATGCATTTACATCATGCTATGAGAACACAATAGCACCATAGATATTTCTCTAAAGTAGCACAGCATGTTTAATTTTTTATTTTATATTTCTAAATTTTATCCTTTATTCACATGTGTTTGATCCATATTTGTAAAGTGGTTCAGACTTATCCAGTGAATTAGCAAATGTTTGCCACTTACTTGTAATTATAAGTTTTTATAACACTAATATAGCTCATTATGACGTTGTAAATATATAACTCCTCACAGAGTTGGAAAGAGTAAATAGGGTAGATGGAGAAGGGTAGATGGAGAATGTCTCCAATGCTATTTCCACGTATTTTCCTCCCAGCAGACGAAATAAGGGGGCATTGCTTAGGAGGGAATGGTAATCTACTGCACTTTGTTCTCCACTCCAAAAATATCTTACCACCCATTCTACCAATTAGGTTCTTCTTTTAAATTCCACATTCTTTTTTTTTTTCTGGAGTTTAATCATTTGTATTGTTGTGATAGCTTTTTATACTAAGGATATTAACTTTTTTCTGTCATCTTTTACAATTTTTTGGTTTGTTGTTGGCTTTATAATTTGGTTTGGATGTTTTTGATGGGCAGATGTGTTTAGGTTTGTTTTGTTTTGTTTTTTTAAAGTAGGCTCCATGCCCCGCGTGGAGCCCAGTGCGGGGCTTAAACTCACAACCCTGAGATCAAGACCTGAGCTGAGATTAGGAGTTGGACACTTAACCAACTGAGCCACCCAGGCGCCCTATGTTTAGTTTTTATGTAGCAATTCTATCCATCTTATCCTTTAAAACTTTTTAACTTGGAAGGCCATCTCTACTAAAGGATCAGATATCACTCTCTTTTTGTGGTTTTAGTTCACTTTTTTTATGTCTAAATGTTTTATATACAGAAAGTCAAACACCTCAGTGGAAAAATGGATACATTTACAAATAAGAAATAGACATAGACTGATAACATGAAGAAAAGTTTGATCTTATTAGTTCTCAAAGAAATCGAAAGTAAAATAACAAGACACCATTATCAAATCTTAACCAATTATCAAAATGAAAGAAGGCTATTACCAGTATTGACAAAGGTACAGGGGAACAAGACTTCCACCTGTTGCTGTCAGTAGGATAAGTTGGGATAGTTTTTCAAGAGGGTCATTTGTATTTTGGTTCAGTGGCTTGAAAAAAAAAATTCATTTGATTTAGGTATTCTACTTTTAGAGACTTATATTAAACAGATAACCAGAAATACACTAAAAAGTTTTAACAGAGGATGGTATTATGTTTATGGTTAGGAGGAGAAAAACCGCACATTTAATTTCAGTTTTAAGTGTAAGTGCTCAAAAGAAAGTGTAATAAATCTATTCATAGATTGGTGCAAGTTATTTTATGCTCATAGTCACTTCTGCACCTAACTAAACATTCCAGAATAAGCATTTTTATTGGTTTGTGGAAGAAAAAGTGAACTTTCAGAGGTCCAGCCTGGGGATAATGAAAGAAATAGTGGAAGGCCAGCCTACTGGGATCAGGTAAGTAGGACAGGCAAAAAAAAAAAGCACAATATGGAAGTACTCTGGTAAAGAGTAAATTTTGCCTGATTTGTTGTTTTTGCCTTGGACCCACCTAGTAAGAACCACTAAAAAATCTATAAATTACTTATGCTTAAATGGAAATGGCTGTGCCAATTTGGAAACTTCAGGTCCTCCGGTTCATCTCAGCACAGAGTAGTTAGGCATCTCTAATTCCGTCTCCAGTCAGTCTCTTCTCTTGCCCCCACCCCCACCCTGTCCTTTCACTAAAAAGAGAGAAACAGAAAGAAGAAATGTTCTATTCTTGTCCATTCCAACTTAAAGTAGGCAGGAAAAAAAAAAAAGAATCAGTATAAAACAAAATAGAAGAAAGCTGGACCTGCCCAGGACCGTTGAGTACTAAAGTCATGCATCACAAGAAACAGCTCCGTTCCAGGCAGACCAAGGGCCTGGTCATCTGGGCCTTATATGTGAAGAAGGCACAGGGGAGTGACAAGGTCTGAGTCATGTTATAAAAGATACTCTTCTTGACTGCTAAGTGGAGAAAGAGGAGCTCTTTACTATCATAATTTTGTTTTGCACTTTGTTGTAGCCTGAATTAGGTGACTTAGATACCTGGCAGGAAAATACCAACGCGTGGGAAGAAGAAGAAGATGCGGCCTGGCAAGCAGAAGAAGTTCTGAGGTATTTTAGTTACACTTACGTTATAGCTTGAGTAGAAGAACTCAATTTGTTCATGTTGCATTTGAGGTCAAGAAAGCTGATTCTGCCAAAAGTTGTATTTTTCTTCATTCTTTCTCACTTGAGCTTAGGTATAAATTTCAGACTGCATATACTATTTTATATGATTAAAACCTCACAGAAACCTAGAATTTAAAGCATTATAGGAACAAAAGAGTAATAATGTTATTAATGGCAAATTAGATCTTCTATATATATACATCATATTATACTATTTGCTTTGTATTCCATTCCCTGTAAAACATAGTTATCTCTTGAAACGTGAGCCACCATTATATATTCCTTTAGGTCAGAAATTATACCTTTATTTTTGTTTCCCCGTGGTCTACAATAGTGCCCAGCACTGCACATTCAGATGGAAATAACTTATATAGCACTCTACATTTGTATATATGGCTTAGTTGATGTACTCAAAAGCCCTACGAGGTAAATAATTATGTCGGGTACTATCCATTCTACAGAGAAGAAAATATTATTCCTGAGGTCTTCAAGTTTGTTTTTTTGGTGTTATGTTCTTATTTCTTTGTTTCTGTGAGCAATAAACTTAATTCTTGCTACTGCTGCATTAAGTCAAAGAGTAAACAGAATATTTACCCTAAAAAAGTTTGTGACCATCATCACTGGTGAAAAGCTCATATATTTAAATGTATCTAAATCATTTTTTATTTTTAAAGATGATATAGTAAAACACAGTGATGTAAGTTTTTTATTTTTAAAAGATTGTTTTTTTAATAGGGATAGAAAATAAATAACAAAACAACTGATTTCATTTTTGTGTTTTCCCTTCCGGTCTTCATCAACTAACTACAGTTACCTTGAACAGCCAGCAGAGGGTGCAGTTGAGTTATGGCTGACTTTTTTTTTTTGGTCTGGTCCTCCCTATTTTCAGCTTTTTTTTTTTTTTAAGATTTTATTTACTTATTTGTCAGAGAGAGAGAGCACAAGCAGAGGGAGAAGCAGGCTTCCCGCTGAGCAGGGAGCCCGATGCGGGACTCGATCCTGGGACTCCAGGATCATGACCTGAGCTGAGGACAGTCGTTTAACCAACTGAGCCACCCAGGCGCCCCTTCAGCTTTTTTTTTTAAACAGGGATGCGTCACTTTTTAAAAGTCAGTAAAGTTATGAGAGTTTTAAATATTTAGTTTTTATCTAATCATTATTCACTGTAAAAGGACTTTTTAAAATTGTAAACGGCAACATTTATTTTGCATGGATCATCAAAAAAAGATAAGTTATCTATTTCTTTTACTCTTTTTTGGATACATCATAGATATAGAAGTCCAAGTGTTTTAGAACATTTTCAGGGGTTTGTGATTTTTAGTGTCATTAACCACAGGATAAAGGAGAGGGGTCTGTTCATTCTGAATTCAGTAATCTTAACGACAGCACTATAGAGTTGATGAGTTCACAAGTATCTTAATACCCACTGTACCTTTTTTCCACGCTCTATCCTCTTGCACTCTGAACAAAACAAGAAAAAAACAAAAAACAAAACCCTAAACCTAGTGTTTTATGTTATATGACAGCTTAGGAGAGGGAACCTATCAGTTGGTAATATGCATGCTTCCTGCTACCATTTGCATAAGTTAGAGTCAAAGACACTTGGAGGACTCCTGCGCTGTTACTGCCCCCGGAAGAACACTGCGAAGTTTTGAAGTGTGGTCACACTGTGTGTCCTCTCAGTCTGTTTTCCATTGCCACTTTAATACTGCCAGGCCCGGAATCAGTAAAGTTAAGGAGATTCTGGTACTTCAGTAATTCCAGGTGTGTATCTGGAGAGGGAAAACAGATTTTGTCTGCAGTCATCTCTAAATTGCCTCATTTTCCAGGAACATTAACTGTTGATGTTTATACTTTAACTAATAATCCGGTGAAAGCTTGATGATCTTGCTTGTTTGTAAGCTAGCCAGCTCTTTATAATTCTTTTCTAGCTCCCTTTTTGCCACGGGCATTTTGACTTTTTTAGGGGGCAGATTATCAGTTTTGCTAGGAAGTGATCAGAGCTGGTGAAAAGTAGATTTCTATTAAACTGTTCTTCTGAAACTTTAGTTAATTGATGGTGAAGGTCAAAATATTGCCTAAAATAAGTCTACTTTCTCGAATTTTGGTCATACACAACTCTGCTCACTCCCACTTATAAATATGATGAGAATGGTATATATGTTTCACTCGCCAGAGTCCCCTTTGAGCTGTCCCAAACATAGGTAATCCACACTGGATTTTTCTGTTTTATAACCTCCTGTTGCCCATCCCATGCATAACTGTGACCTACAGCTTCCTCCCTCAACCTTGCATGCTTCTTCACTATTTTCTCATGCCTTAAACCTTAGATCCAGGACCAGCTTCTGTTCTTTGTCCTATTTCGTCACCCCCTGCTACTCCCACTCTCCACACAAGTCAATCAGTAACAAAAGAGAGGCCAGTGGTTCTAGCTCAGTGGAGTCAAGGAGGGGCCAGGGAGGAGGGAAGTATCTCATAATGTATAATCAGCAAGTACCCACTATTCTGCCCCTTCCTCAGTAGAGCTGGCCAAATGCTAATCCTTAAATAGATTTCTGGCTTCCAGTTGGAAGGCTTGTGTTTCATTTCTATTTTCTTTGTGCATTGTGTTCTGCACATCTGTGTTCTTGACTTCCTTCAGCAGAGTGTTTCTAACTATTATAAGAACAGGAGATTTAGTCCTCAACATCAGGCTTTTCAGAATGGTATCAAAAAGAAGGTGTGGTCCAATGGAAGTAGTGTTTTAGTGAAAATAATCTGAAGAAGAGGGATTAGAAGATGTGGGTTTGTCTCCTTGTACTTAATCTTATGACTTTGGGTAAGTCACTTAGCCTTTGTGCCTCATTTTACTTATTGGTAACATAGAGACAATACTCTTTTATTTTGCAAGTCGTGTTCTAAGGATTAAAAGAAATACTGTTTTTGAAAATCTTTGAAATTTTCTTAACAGTGAGAAGAAAGATTTTTCAAACTTAACATTTGATGTTGGTAAAAAGGCACCGCTATTTCTTTCTGGAATTCATTCGCCATTTTACCTGTGTGGTATTTTCTAAAAGTAAAAATAGGAATATGTTTCTTTTCAGGCAGCAGAAGATAGCAGACAGAGAAAAGAGAGCAGCAGAACAACAAAGGAAGAAAATGGAGAAGGAGGCACAGCGGCTAATGAAAAAGGAACAGAACAAAATTGGCGTGAAGCTTTCATAATGGATGTCCTTCACATGTCATAGTGCCAGTAAGAGAGATATGAGCTCCACAACTCAAGCAACATTTATATGGATTTAAGAATATTTTCAGAATACAAACACATTGCTTGATTTTAATGCATTCATCAGACCATCTAGGAGACCAGGATTCTCTCAAAGTACCTTGAGCTCTTAGTAATTGAGACTCAAAAAAAAAAGACCTACGAGGCAATATTTTTTTTCAACATGCTCCAAGTGTAAGACAGTTGTTTGCTGTAAAAAATTATTACAAATGGAATATACCAGTACCTCTTCTAGCTAGTGTTTCTAGCTAAATAAATGGGTGTAAATAATTTTATGGTGGGAAAGAACTCTGCTCTCTATAATGCTTTCCTTCATTGTGCATAATGATAAAATAAATAATTTTAAATATTCCTTTGTTTCCATGATTATCTGACCTAACTCAGACAAACTGCAGGGCTTTTAACCTCTTTATTTTTGTTGTCAGAAGCTGGTATTGGCATACATTTCTTCTAGTTTGAACTGGTAATGTTTATGTTTAATATGACGTTAAGGAATTTGATGACTTTGGTTTTCAAGAAAATGACATTAAATGCAATAATTTTATTTATCATAAAGATTTTATACATCGTTTTCTTTTAGATGGTATTGTAATGGTATACATATTTGTAATTTATACTGCATGTATAAACATTGAAAATCAGCAAAAATGACAAATTTGTTTTGCATTATTTTAACTTGTGAATTTTAAAAACTAGTATTAGTAATTTTTTCCTTTTGTTGTAGATTTTAAGATGTTACAGTGTTTTAAGTACCTTAGTCCCTCCTGCCACAAAAGCCATTAATTTACAAACGCAGAAAGCCTTCGGTTCTAATATTTCAAAGCTTTCAGATGATTTCTGTATCAATTTTATATATCTGACATAATGCAGTTTACTGTGTTGTTGGCTAAGATAATACTGATTTATTAAATTTTAAACTGAGATAGGAATAATATTTTTATTTTGGGGTGTTGACTGCCTCTAAAATAGTTTCAAGGAAATAGATACATACTGTGTTCACAGGAAAAAAATAGGTTTGATAGTTTAAATCCTATTAATTTTTTCTCCATGATTAAAATACTTTCAGACTGATTTTCTATGGCTTTAGAATTTTTAAAGATTTTCACCTTCATAAAGGTTGTTGCCCAAAATTAACATTCTATGGGTTTTTTTAGTGTCCTAGATCCTCTACAGGCTAACTACTGCTGATATGTTTGAATTAAAATGATATTTCAGAGTAAAATCACAGCCTGTACAGTGAGATCACCCTAAGTCCTTAGCCTAAGCTCCTAGACTAAATGTGATTGTAGAATCTAGTTGAAATTTAACTTTGGTAAAAATCTGCTTTTTATAATCCCAAACCACATTTTCAGTTATCATGTTTATTAGAACTTCTGCCAATAAATTTCCAATTAAATAGAATTAGATTCAAATTTTTAGTAATAAATGTATTCTCTTCCCTTATTTGTATTTATTTATTTTTAGTTATGGGAATGCTACATGATTTCTCTAAATTTGGGGTTCATAAAGGATAACCTCTCCTTTAGTACAATAAATTTTACTGCTTTTCCCCAGTAGTTGACAAGTAGTGAAGTCCATTTTGGTCATGACTTTCATGATGTGGGATTTTGTTTTTTTGTTGGCTTTTTTATTTTTGTTTGATCAAGGGCGCCTGGGTGGCTCAGTCGTTAGGCATCTGCCTTTGGCTCGGGTTGTGGTCCCGGGGTCCTGGGGTCGAGCCCCCTCATGGGGCTCCCTGCTCGGCGGGAGGCCCGTTTCTCCCTCTCCTACTCCCCCTGCTTGTGTTCCCTTTCTCGCTGTCTCTCTCTCTGTCAAAAAAAACAAAACAAAACAAACCTTTAAAAAGTTTTTTAAAAAAAGAAGTAAAGACTGGTTAGAAATTGTTTGTATGATTAGAAAGAAAGATTTTTTTAATGAAAAGAATAAAGAGCAATTTGGGGATTTTTTTTTTAACCTCTCTTGGTATGTAAACTGAATTCCTGTGTTAAGTTGGGTGTAATATGGTCCCAAAAGAAGTTGTGAAGTGAGTTAAATACATCTGATAAACACTTCATGGTAACAAACTGACTTTTAGCTTTGAAATTTATAGTTTGTTTTTGTTTTAATTAAGAATTACCAGTCTTAGAAGCCTATTAGTAAAAGTAAAGAAGCAATATGGGTAGGCATAGATAGAATTAGTGAAGTGCTACCCATTATCTGAATTGTGCATTTCGTGTATTGAGATACCAAGTGATGTGCAGGATGTGAACCTTTGTATTTTGTGTATCTCTATATATGTATGGTTTCCACTCTTATTAAGCTGTAGCTGAGGATATCTTCTAGTTGACTTTGGCTCCTTTTTATTTTTATTTTTTTAAGATTTTATTTATTTATTTGACAGAGAGACAGCGAGAGAGGGAACACAAGCAGGGGGAGTGGGAGAGGGAGAAGCAGGCTTCCCGCGGAGCAGGGAGCCCGATGTGGGACTCAATCCCAGGACCCTGGGATCATGACCTGAGCCGAAGGCAGACGCTTAACGACTGAGCCACCCAGGCACCCCAACTCTGGCTCCTTTTTAGTAGCATATTTAATTGAGTCAACATTTTAGAAATTAGAATTTAAAATTCAGCATTTAAATTCCTGTTTTGACATGTACTCGCCTCCGGCCAGGATGGCAGCTATTCTTTTAGATGAAGATTGGTGGTTGGGAAGATGGTGATAGCTGCAGAAACTGGCGTCTGGATGGAGCTTCCAACAGCACTCTATACTGGTGTAGTGCAGATCTAACCATGGCCAGTGTTCCAAAAAGCCTGTTTTGTCACTAATGATGTAATTACTGGGCCAGATATAGCTAACACACGTCTTGTTTAATCCTACGTAGTTCAGCTTTAAACTAACCTACTGCAACGATTTTCACAGCCTTTAGCCCCTTGTTCAAAAAAAATCTTTCATAAGGTGTGTAAGCAAACAACAGTTACTGTGGTGAGTAGTTTTGGCTGAAGCCACTTTGGGTAGTAGGGGTGCACTAGGGCTTACAGATTGTTTCTGGGAAGAAGGTTCTCCTCAGATGAATTGGAGGGATGAGGAAGATGGTGGTTTCATGAAGAGCTTCCTTTAGTAGTGAATAACTTAATAAACTTGTGTTTACTGTTTAAATAGATTTTTAAAATTCCTGATATCAAAAGGGAGCTCTTTTTATCTTAATATAATTTACTCTACTTTAATATAACCAACAGGGTTCCAAGGTTAATAGGATTGGCTTGTGGCTCCTTTTGTATTGAACTGTTTTTTTACTTTGCTTCCCAACTTTATTTTCCGTGCCACTTAGCCGTGGCCGTTGGGCATGCCCAGTAAGGAACCAGGGTAAGCTTTGAGAGTCATAGCTTCTTTTCACCAAAAGCCTTGATCTTCCAGAGCTGGAAACAGACACTACTCTAGGAACACCCTCTTGCGCACATACCTAGCGCCTCCTCCACGCTCCCCCCCTACCCCCCCGGATTTCTACCCTGAATACCTGCTACTAACACCCGCTAATTCACCAAGCAGGAGCTTTTGCGGAGAAACTTAGGCTAGAAGTGTGTGGCCAACCAGGGTAACTGCAGCCTTCCCTTCTGGGAACTTCCACGGATATTAATACAGGTGCTTTGCCTATATATTGATCTGACTGCATCAATTCTGAGAGCTCAGAGTTCTCAGAGCTGTAGAAATGGGGCAGTATTAAATTGCCTGAGTTTGCGAATCATTTAAATGAAGATGACGGTTTTAAGGATCGACTGAGACTCTTGTGTTCATCATAGTGCCTGTGGCACATACGTAAACAGCACATGGCAGTTGTGAGGATTCCACACTTTGCTGTGCACTCTTGGCAGCCCCCTCCCTGTGGACAATGGGAGAGGTTGGCTGATCTTGCCGTATGAATCTTTACACACCTTTACGGTGAACTGCAAATTCCATTAAGAGAGGGAAAGCATTATGTGTTCAGCGGCATCTGAGAGTCTGTATCAATGACTCTTCCCGATCCAGTGAGGTGGACCTTACCCCATTGCACATACGAAGAAACCAAGGCTTAGAAAGGCAGTTGTGTGCTTGATTAACAGGAAAACAGCAAGCTTTGAGGGCAGGTTACCTTAATGGTTAATCAGCATTCAACGTGGACTATGATTTCAAAGCCCTCTTCGCTAGAAACTGCCCCCTGCCGAAAGTTCATTAGAATTTCCTATCTAGTTCTTAGCTCAGTGAAAATGTTACAAATTATAGTAGGTAACACCTGTTTGTGTTTTCTAAGAACTTATTTAACAAATAAGGAAATTAGTTTGCTTTTTTATTGTTATATAAATAACATAAATGTCAATGCCATTATGACTGTATTCCCAGTTTACTTGGGTCAGATATAATCAAGGCGAAATGAAATGTGGTTTATATTCACACAGTTGCAAAAACAGGCCAATTAGCTCACTTGATTGGATCATTGTTCCAGTGAGGCCAAGGTCACAGGTTTTGTGCATGTGCAGACCACGGCTATACCCAGAGACCCTCCTGCACAACCTGTGTCCCTGACCTTGTCCGGTTATCTTCTGAATGTGTGTCTTTAGGATCTGATTGAGAGTATAAATGACACAGAAAAAATCATTTCCAGGCCTAGGAAATTCAAAAGACATACTCTAAGTTGGTGGTATATTGAGGTAAATCATTATGGTTTCTCACTGTTATATCAATTTTGGCTCATTAATAAGATATTAACTTCTTCTGCCCCAAATCAGTTTCATTTGTTAAAATAGTCAATTCTTAATTTATACATCAAGGCAGTTTCCAAACCTGTCGATTATTCCTAAATAAAACCAGTGCTTACCTACTTTATGGAGAAAAATGTCATCATTAGATATATTGGCTTAAGAAATAAATTTTTAAAAAGTTTTTTGACTTTTTAGTGGTAAATGAAGATATATGTAAGGCTACAGATACATTTCACTTCATTTAAGTTTAAAGTACATAAGAATGTAGGTGCTTTTTATTTCTTTTTGAAGCTTCACAGCACATCTGAACCTCATAACTGCCAATCTGTCTTGATTAGAAGGAACCCTCGTGGAGTAAGATAATTACATGGGTCATCATTTTTAAGACTTTTTTCCATGGACTGCTTTCAGTGGGAGATGTGAAAATTATTAAGACTGCTTTCGTCATTCGTTTCCTCTGTATAACCAACGAGCCAGAAACAATGTGCTGGTTCAGAAGAATGAAAGGTCAGTTTAAAATGCCAGCACCTATTGTTTACTGTGGAAAGTAAGCCTGGCAGACCATTGCAAACACCGTGAGCTATCGGATTGCCAGGAAGGGGAGGGAGGGCCTTACTGCACCATCAGATTGGAGAAACATAGCTGCTGTTAATGGTTTTCATACTCCAGTTCATTACAACTCCAGTCTGGCAAAATTTTTCGAAGTTTTCAAAGTTACTCAGAATCACTTTGATCAAACATCTTCAGGGAATGAGAGTGAAACTGTCCCTGACGGCAGGTCAGATAAGATCACCATGGGGAGGAACTCTAGGGCAGCGAGGCAGCGGGGTAGGATGCCTGCCCTTCAGCACATTCACAAGGAGCCAGACGGGGTGCTCCAGCCAGCATCCTTGCGCATCCTCAGAGGATGATGAGACGAGCTCCGGAGCGAGATCCTCCTCACAGTTAAACCAGCAGATCACTGGCAAACACACTTGTGTGAGGAAAGATTAGAAAACACCTCCACGGGGCGCCTGGGTGGCTCAGTTGGTTAAGCGACTGCCTTCGGCTCAGGTCATGATCCTGGAGTGCCGGGATCGAGTCCCGCATCGGGCTCCCTGCT